GATACAAGACATGAGCACGCAGCCTTCCTATATGAGATGAGGTTATCCCCTGCTGTATGTGAGGCTCAAAACTGGTATGCAGGGAACACGTGTATAGTCGTCCACTGTGCCTGCCTACCCTCTGAGATGGATGCCTCACACTGGGGTTGGGAGAGGCCGGGAAGGTCAAGCCTCCACAGCAACTTCTGAACCGGTCCTGGGAGGAGAGAACAGTCAAGGTAGCTGGGCACTGCCAGATGTCCCCTATGGGGACCTGTCCTGGGGACAGGACTCTAGAGCAGGAGCCAGCACAGGTAGCCATGGTCCTCAGCTCCCAGGCTGTAAGTGCCAAAAAGTCCTCCAGTGGTTTAGAACCATAAGAGGTACCTGACCCATGTAACCACTGAGACCAGAGATGGCCTCTGATTCAGAAAAGAGTCGCTGTGTGGAGCTGGAGAGCTAGCTCAGACAGCGAGAGAATTTGCTGCTCTTTCAGAGGACCCCAGTTCAGCTCCCAGGACCCATGCGGCACCTGTAACCTGCCCTCTGCTGGCCTCTGTTGACAACTACCCAGGACTGGGCTCATAGTTTCATTGTTTGGGGGCCCTTCAGATAGAGGAGGAAGGAGTAGGGCTGGACAGGATGGGCACTGAGTGGAGAATTCCTTCCCTGGGAAGATGTAAACAATGTTACCCCCCCCCCATATGGTCCTAACCTCAAACCAAAGTATAATTTCACCAAAGTCAACTGGGGGAGCCAGTGACATTGCTGGGATTACTGACAGAGGTAAGAGGTTAGTGGGATCATGAAGGCAGGCAGGGCACCAAAGAAGCTACACTGTAATGTCTTCACTCAGCATGGATGATAGCTTCCCCAAAAGCCCTCACAGATGGAGAAACTTCCATTAACCTCCCATGTCTATATACTCCCCCACATCCTAAGACCACAAGGCCTCATGTAACTAGGGCAAAGTAGAACATAAATGGCTGGGAGCAGGGCTAAACTCTCTGGGGAGGGTCGTTGGATCCTCTTTCTATGAGAGAACATCAGTAGTCAACAAGACTACTCCTGGCGACCTCTTGCAAATAGGCACAATTGAGCTGACGATGATGGCGTTCTACAACAGCCACACACCTCTTCTGCAGGGGCAGAAGAGAGGTGGACCCCAGGTGTTATGTAAATGTTTCAACTGAATTGAATTTTTTGTTCATTAAGGGAGGAAAGAAGCTCATGAGACTGAAAAAGCAAAGGATACCTGAAATGAACTCAGGAAACTCAGAAAGTTACAAGACTCACGGGCCCCTTCCCAAGGTTAGATAGCCAGCTACAATTGCAGAGGAGAGACTGACCTACTGCCTGAAACTCGTTCAGGAAGCTTGATGGATACAGCTTTGGTAAATGGCCACCCATGCCCCCGTAATGAACCCCAACAAACTCAAAGAAGGGCCTCACTGCTCACAGCAATGCAACGTGGGGCTGGCAGTAGCCTGTTCCCCTGACAGCCAAGACACTCACAGTGCAGTTAGTTCCCTTGAAGGACTACAGACTACAGGTGGGGTAGTGCACAGCCAGCTCAGGGACAGTACATGACCCAGAAATGGCCAGTCCCCAGATGTGAGCTTGAGAAACCAGACAAAGCACTCTTCCTGCCAGATATGAAACTGCCAACTTCATACCAGAAAGCCAACCACAGTGGTCTTATGCTGGTAGAACAGAAAACTGTGGTTGACCAAAGGTGAGAAGCCACTACTCAGGTTTCTCAGGAAGGGGAGGCAGGGTTTCAGTTTCAGACTAAGTGATTTGGAGTCGCTTTCCTGTTTGTGCCAGGTTCTTTGCCAGAAAACACACTCCTCTGCATCTGAAGTGAGACCTTTGTTACAAGCTCCAAACTTCATGCAGTCGTTACAGCATAGAGAAGTGGAAGTCTGAGAAGAGAAACTGCAGGGTTCAGGGAAGCCCCTCAGCAGCCCTCGAAGGGACAAGGGTACTTTCAGGATCTGGGGAACCAAGTGTCCCCCCAGCTGTAGATGCAGGACCAGACAGGGTGCTTCTGGGAGTGCACACATGTGAGGACAGACTGTTGGCTGCAGTGTGAGAACTTCTGTTACATGCTACCATCTCTCACCAGTTACCCTTCCATGTGGTCATTGCTGCTGTTCCTCCATCTTTCAGATCACATGTGTTTGCTGTTTGCTTCTCTTGGGGTCAAACCTAGCCTGGAGTTGTTAGGGAAGGGAGTCCTGGGAACATTGCTAAGGCCCAGCAGTGCACCCCAGAACTATGAACTTAGGATTCTCTCATTACAAATCTCAGCTGAAGCCATCAGGACCTTCCACTAACCTGCAGGTCCTCCAGCAGCCACCAAATATGACACCATCTGCAGAAGACCCACGGGCTGCATGGTAAGCCTCCCCCTCCTCTCTGGCAAAGATGCCAGAGAGATCTGAGAGAAGCAGTGCTTCAGGGAGACAGTGCCATACTTCAGGAGCTCAAGGGGACACCTGTCTAGGTCAGCTGCCATGACTCCTCAGTGAAGGAAAAAAACAAACAAAATCAAAAACAACAAAGGACATGACTGCTGCTAGGCATGGTGGAGGAGAAAGTTTTTTTTTCTTTTAAGATTTTATTTATTATGTATACAGTGTTCTGCCTGCAGGCCAGCAGAGGGCACCAGATCTCATAACGGATGGTTGTGAGCCACCATGTGGTGGCTGGGAAATGAACTCAGGACCTCTGGAAGAACAGCCAGTGCTCTTAACCGCTGAGCCATCTCTCCAGCCCCAGGAGAAAGTTTATTGTAGATAAAAGGGAGAGCATAATCAGAAGCAGGGACTTCTGAGAGAGTCAGAGAGGAGCCAACCAAGAGGGACTGCTTGGGCTGAGAGAGACCGGCTAGGAGAGCAGATGAAAGAGGCCAGGTAACCCAAATGGCTGCATTATATGGAGAAGGGCAGCCCAGCCCCTGAGCTGAAGTTTGGGGTAGAGGGCAGGGTGTGCCAGCCAAACCCTGTAACAGGTGAGGGACTGAGGGATGCTGGGAGAACCTGGTGGCCAGATTCATTTTGATATGTTAAGTAGGCACCTCCTTAGTTCTGGCTTTGAGACCTAAGAGTAAGGGCAGGAAAAGCCACAGCCCTGAAACCAAGGCCCTGCGCTGCTTCAGCCAGACCTCTGTGTTGCCACAGCTCGGCAGCAGGGCCTCTCTCCTCGGACCCTTGCCCTATCAAGAATCTCCAGGAATAGCCTATTTGCAGGGAAGTCTCAGTGGGGCTATCAATCGGCAAAGGCCAGATACCAAGACTGGAAAAGCTGCAGAACCAGGTTCGGCCCACAGCCTGACCCATTCTCTGCCTGTACCACCCCTGCACCTTGGCCACTCCTGTCTAGGTAAAAGAAGGAAGAACTAGGGAAGTCAAATCCAAGCTGAACAGGGCAGCAACTCCATACTTTCCCATCAGCCTCAGCTCACAGGCATTTGGTACAAAATATGCACAACTCCACCACAGGCCTAGGCCTCTCCCAGGACAAAAGGGGAGCAGGAGACGCCCGCCTCCTCCTGTCACACACTCTTGCTCCAAGTCAGCTGCCATCTCCAGCCACTTTTCTCTCATCCACGTCCTTTATGCACAGCCTCCGTTGGAGTGGCCAGAGGACCTCTCTAAGATCAGCTAACCTGAGCCTATAAAAACCTTCCTCCCCGGGCTGGAGAGATGGCTCAGTGGTTAAGAGCACACTGACTGCTCTTCCAGAGGACCTGGGTTCAATTCATAGTACCCATACAGCAGCTCACAATTGTCTGTAACTCTAGTTTTTGGGGACCTGACACCCATGGCAAAACACCAAAGCACATAAAATAAAAATAAATATATTAAAAAACAAACCTTCCTGCCGCATTGGCTAGGCTGAGCTGGTCTTTGTATCTTTCTGCTCAGTTCTTATTGTTTTTAGTGGAAAGAATGATGCACATGTGAGAGTCAGAGGGTAAATCAGTCTTAGGAGTCTGTTCTCTCTTTCCACTGTGGGTTCCAGGGAGCAAAGTCGGGTTTCCAGGCTTTGTGAAGCCACGGTCTTTACCTACTGAACCACTTCTCCAGCCCCTTAAACCAGTTTTTGGTAAAAAGCAGGCGGGGATGGTCAGATGGAAAGATGAGTCAGAGGGGAGTCCTAGAAAAGTTTCATCAAGAACAGCCTGTCACCTCTGAAGGGCCTGAGGTCCCCAATACCTGTCCCGTTGTAATCTGTAGGCCAGGAAATTATATATAGAAGTTTCAACCTAAAAATAAACTCAGCGCAAGACAGGGTGTTGGTGGCACACGCCTTTAATCCCAGCACTCGGGAGCTGGAGAGATGGCTCAGAGGGCTGGAGAGATAGCTAGAGAGATAGCTCAGAGGTTAAGAGCACTGACTGCTCTTCCAGAGGTCCTGAGTTCAATTCCCAGCAACCACATGGTGGCTCACAACCATCTGTAATGAGACCTGGTGCCCTCTTCTGGCATGCAGACAGAGCACTATATACAAACATAATAATTAAATAAAATCTTAAAAAAAAAAAATCCCAGCACTCAGGAGCCTGAGGCAGGCGGATCATTATGAGTTCGAGGGCAGCCTGGTGTACAAGAGCTAGTTCCAGGACAACCTTCAAAGCCACAGAGAAACCCTGTCTCAAAAAACCAATAAATAAATAAATCATAAACTCAGAGCCAGGCTCTCCTAAACATTTGTGATACTGAAGATGCACACTGAGTGATCGCAGACATAGGGTTAGGAGACTTTCAAAAACGTAGTCTATCTTCTGTTTGGGCTTTTGTTTTTAAAGATCTTTTTTTTTTTTTTTTCTGCATGTGAATGTTGTGCTCGCACGTATGTGTGCATTGCAATCGAGCTGTCTGATGTACGCGGAGGCCATAAGAGGGCGCCGGATCTCCCGAAACTAGAGTTACAGAAGGTTGTGAGCCGCCGGGCGGGTGCCGGGAAGAAACCCGAGTTCCCTGAAAAAGCAACTAATGTTGTGAACGGATCAGGCTGGCCTCAAACTCAAGAGGTCCTCCGGCCTCTGCCTGGCTTTGTCTTTTAAGACAAGGTCTCACTCTGTATCCCAGGATGACCAGGAATTGGCCCCCGCAATCCTCCTGCCTCCGCCTCTGAGTGAAGCAACTACAAGCAGGAGCCACTGCCCGGTGGTAGGTTAGCTGTAACTCAAATCCTCGGTTTGGGCGCAAGGGTGACCTCCTAGGGATGAGGATGCGGAACAAGCGGTCCAGGAGGGGTGTCTACGGGAATCCCCCACGAGGCCCCCGCCATCCTTCCCGCTTGGCCCGGCTCTCACGGTGGCAGCTCCGTCCTGCCCGACGCCCCCGAGACCTGGCGGGCGCCCCGAGTCTCTCACCCCCGCGCCTTTCTCGCCCCCGCCAGCCCACCTCACACCCCTGCAGCCCGGGGTTCTAGCAGACGGCCAACCTCCTTCGCGACGGGAGGTCCAGAGGCCGCAGAGCCTTGCGCATGCGCAAGACCGGCGCCCCCCCCATCAAAGGGACGGGGCGGAGCCTCTTGTCCCGGAAGCCGGACCGTGCCATTGCGTCCGCGCAGTTCCGCCCTCTCTCCTGACTGCCAATCGGAGCTCAGGCCCCGCCCCTGGAGACTCGGGCCCCGCCCCTGGAGACGCGCCGCAGCGAAGGCCTCTCCCACTAGCCGAGTGTACAGCAAGGCGGCCCCCTTGGTCGCGGCCCCGCGGCCGCCATGAAGCTAACGCGAAAAATGGTCCTGTCCCGAGCCAAAGCTTCGGAGCTGCACAGCGTGCGGAAGCTCAACTGCTGGTGAGGCTGGCCAGAATCTCCCCCACCCCGCCCCAGGGCGCCTGCTCCCCCAAACCAGCCCGGTTGCAGGCCAACCCCCGGGCCAGTGCCTCGGAGTGAAGTCGCCCTCGCCTGTCAGCTAGAATTTCCCTCTAATCTCGCCCAGGGGGTTTCACTAACCCTCTGTGACTGTGTCTGGTATCCGAAAACAAAGGTGCTGAGTCTACAGGGAGAGAGAACTGAGGTCGTAGAGTCGTGATTCCTTGTCACTAGATGCTGGAGAGGGTGACCTGGACTGAGTGACAGCCTGGAACTTAGATGTTATGGGATGAGTGCACTCACAGGTGCATGGCTGGGTCACACTAAGTCTGAAAGAGTAAGGCTTATGGAGGAGTTTGCATTAGTGGGGTGTGAAAGAGCTACAGAATTCTCTGGGGACTCAGGTCCTGGGACACTGTGGCCAGAGCACCAAGAAGGGGCACAGGTTCGGCCCCTCACTCTTACTGGTGTCAGCACGCTACTGGAAGGAGTGGACTTTGTTAATTAAAAGCCTTTCTCTGCCCTGGCACATCTGGTGTTGAACCACAGTTCCTCTGTCCTGAGTTTTCAATAATGCCTTCCTTTGTTGAGCCACATGGCACGGCTTCCTCTGCACAGGCAGAAACAACAACCTCATTGCAGGCCTGTGAAGTTTGCTTCAGAAGTTGCAGGATCAGCCTTCGAACTTGGCCTCTTATGAAGACCCTTTTGTTCATGTCTGAGAGAGGAAACAACTTCCTTCTATGGGAGCCGGAGAGGAGTAAATGGTGCACCCTGCAGACAGAGTACCCCCATGCACCAAGCATGTAGTGTTGTCAGAAATCCACCTAACCATTTGTGATACCTTCCCTGTGACTTGGGTAGCCAGCCTTTCTCACTGTGCCATTCAGATCATAGAAACTTTAGATGTTCAGTCAGTTGTCACTTGGGGATTTTTGATATTTCCACGCAAGAAGATTAAAGTGTTTCTGTCTTTTTCTTCTCCAGGGGCAGCCAGCTCACTGATGTAAGTTATGCCTTGATCCAATCATCTCCCAGATGCCTCTTCTCCAGAAGAATAGATACAAGTTACAGAACTATGGTTATGAGTCCAGTGCCATGTCATTTGCTGGTCCTACACAGAAGAGGGCAAAGTGAAAGCTCTGCTCTTGGAAGAGTCCGGATTTTCCTCAGACATCATCAAGGCTCTCTGCATGGCCTCCTCTCAGTTGACCCAGCTTCAGGATGAGCCCCTACCCTCACCCCAATGGCAGGCAGAGGCTAGACAGAATACCAAGCTGGGTCTGTGGAGCTCATGGCCCAGGTCTGATCTGCTGTAGCCAAAATGTATCTGCTGTTCTGACTTGGGCCCAGCTCCACTAGCAGGCAAGGTGTCTATCCTTTCTTTGTGCCTCAGGAGCAGCTAGAGAAAAGGTTCTGTATCACAATCTTTGAAACCAGCATCCCCAGCCAGATGTCTTTAGAGGGCATTGAATGTCCTAGAACTGTCTGAAATACCCACCCCAGTGAAGAACACTTTGAGGGCAGGCTGGGCCACAGAGACCAACATGCACTGATTCGTCTGAATGTTCTGGTTGTGCAAGGCTATACCCCTTGGCCCCATTAGAGCAGATGATAGGACCCAGGACAGATGTCTTCCCTGACCTGAGAAGTGACTGTGGGACTGTCCTAACTCACCAGCTCCGTTCTTCCCTCCCTAGATTTCCATATGTCGGGAGATGCCCAGCCTGGAAGTGATCACACTCAGGTACTTGATTCCTGTGTCACTGTAGACCTGGGGTATGGAAGCTATGGGGAGCTACATGTCCTTCCTGTTGGGTTCAGGATAAATAGGAAACCGGGAGACTCCCAGCAGCCTAAGATGGCAGCTTCTGGAGACAAAAGGGTGGGGGAATGGGACTACAAGAGCATGGCTCTCCTACAATTCATATCTGCTTTCTCAGGGAATTACCTGGGTCTCCTAAGGGCACCACTCTGCTTGCTGTCATATCCACCCCAGGAAATAATCTGTGCTTTTGTAGCTGTGGTCAGTCAGGTTTCCTAATAATGAGCAGTAATCCATGCAGGCCAGTCCTCCCCATGGCCACATCTGTCCCCAAGAACCTCCCAGTGCCCTATCTCTTCTACCTTCCTGACTCCATCACTTCTAGTTGCTCCTCCATCCCTAAATTCTCCCCCTGACCATTCTAGGACTCAGGATAGGGCTGACACTTAGGGTCCCTGCAGCCTGCTAGGTGCTGGCATGAGGGCATTCTACAGGTTAGCATGGTGCTGGTGTCCTTTCCCAGAGCATGTTAACATACCAGAGCAGCCTTGCAGGAGTGAGCATGGGTGGGGTTAGCACAGCAGGCTAGGCCCTGGCTCTGGGAGGTAGAATGTTTGGCCATTGTTGAGTGGAACACAGTGTGTAAAGATTTAGTGTGTTGATAGGGACTTTGGGGGTTCCTGAATGCTCTGTTTCTCCTTTCCTGTGTTGTGTTCCCTTTCCTACAGGATGGTGGAAATCACCCTAAAATCTTGTTTGTCTTTAGCCTGGGATTCTGGGAGTCAGAGCTGATTTACGTGTGACGTAGAGCTTGTGGGCTTTGTTGCTGAGTTTTAGCCAGTGCCTGCTGTAGAGCTAAGTGTGTCCCTTGGGGACTCAGTGTCACCTACAAAGGTGGGTGAAGCACCCTATCTGCCTCAGTGACTCCATATGAATACAGAGCCCCAGGCCAAGGAGCTGCCCACATGGTGTCTCAACTTAAGGGGCTCCTCCTAGTGCTGCCTGTTCCCCAACCCCAACCCCAACTTACTTGGTTTTGACCCATTTCGAAGGCCAAGACCTTTTGCTGGTATACTCATGGCTGAGGCAGACCCACAGGTGGAGGCCCCTGGCCCATGAAGGTCCAGACTGTATGGGTCTCTAACAGTGTGCTGGTCCCACAGTGTCAACAGTGTCTCCACCCTGGAACCTGTACGTGGCTGCCGACGCCTGAGTGAGCTGTACCTGAGGAGGAACCGTATCCCCAGCCTGGACGAACTGTTCTACCTAAAGGACCTACCACACCTCAGGGTGCTATGGTTGGCCGAGAACCCGTGCTGCGGCACCAGCCCGCACCTTTACCGCATGACTGTGCTGCGCAACCTACCCCACCTGCAGAAGCTAGACAACCAAGGTAGGAAGGGGCTGGCACGTCCGCCCACTGGCAACTGAGGTGGTCCCCATTGAGGGACTTCCAAGCACCCGTCCTCCCTGTCTTCTGCAACTCCCAGCTTGAGGAATGGGCTTATGCCCATCACATAGTGTCATCAGGAGCAGGTCCTGTAAGTGTCCCCTTTCAGATATGCCATTGCAGCATTTCGTAGCCACAGGGCTCCCATCTGTTAAACCCACCTTGGACTTGGGTGTTTCAACAGTCTGTCCTCCTGTTGCCTCCCTCCATGAGGGTTTGCAGTGTGGTGACTGGGCAGCACGTAGCGGGCTCGGCTGCATGGCAGCCAGGCCTCTGGAGCCACATGGAGGACACCCCCACTGCCCCCATAGCATGCCCATCGATGCTGTGCCTACAGGACCCTCTGTCATGGTGGAGGGTCCTGCTCACTGATACCAGGCCATTATGCTCTCGACAGCCAGTTTCTAATCCTCATCAGTTACATGCAATCGTCTTCTCCCAGACACTTAACAAACAAGAGCAAGTGAAGTTGAGTTTGTAAAAGCCCGTTCCTCCTAAAATGTGTCTTCGGGAACGGAAATGTGGTTATTTCTGGAGAAATGGCAGAGAGCCTCCTAGCATGTCATGTGCAAGGCCTGGACCCAACCCCAGCAGCACATAGATTTATCTGGACTTGGGGTTTGGTTCTTAGAACATGCTGGACCTCAAGTTCACAAGTACCCCTTGTTCTTCTGCCAAGTGTCACACACACACTCTGGGATTGGAAATCAGAAGGGACAGGACTGACTGCCCCTAGGGACAGCCTCCATCCACACAGCAGCAGGAGTGAAGCCCCGAGGAGGCCAGCACTGCATGGAGTTGTGCAGCACGGGCCTCTGACACCCTTACCTTTTCTGTCCTTCTCCACAAGCTGTGACGGAGGAAGAGCTTACCCGTGCACTGATGGAGGGAGATGAGATCACTGCCGCCCCAGACAGAAAGGACGCAGGCAATGGCTGTCCCAAGCCTTCCTACACCCTCAACTCTATCAACTCTACAACTGAGACCAGCCAGGGCCTGCTGAGCTACACAGAGGAAACAGAGTGAGCCTGCCAGGGAGCAAGACCCACTGTTCCAGGGGCATCCTCAGACCATGAGAGGGAGGCTTCCTGTCTCCTTCAGGGAGGGATGTGAGCTCAGGTGACCGGTGCACACAGTGCCAGTGGCCGGGAAGGAAGGGCAATGCAGAGGCAGAAGCAGCATATGGACGGCCGTGCTCCTCGGGTGGCCTTGAGTGTGGGCATTCTGCCACTTGTGACTGCACTTGGTCAGAAATGGCCTAGGAAGGCTGTGGCTTCTTTAGCAGGGCCACAGCTGAGTTCTATATGATGGATGCAGCCTCCTATCTCCCATCTGTGGATGGCATTAGAGATGAACACTGTGGGAGTGACCATGGGCCACTCTTCTGCTCTGACCCCTCCAGGGTCATTTCTGTGGCAGTGCCTTCCCTGAGGCCCTAGGTAGAAGGCATTGCAGGAGGGGAGCCTTGGGCACAGAGAAGTTGTTCCCAGTAGCTCTGGGCCCCCATTCTGCACACTGAGCTCCTGTGCCATTATAAAGTGCCTAGATTGAGGGTGCCTGCCTTCTGTCTCCTGCTCTGAGCTGGGACCACTCGCCAGTGTGACTTGGTGGGATTTGACAGGTCGATGGTGGTGCCCACAGCCCTCTAACCATCACACTCTCTCTGCCTCCCTCTTACCAGCAGAGTCCAGGGCCAGACTGCTGGAGACCAATCTCCTTCCTTCTCACAAAGGAAGACTGTGAGGAGTCACAAGAATAGGGTGAGTGGCCCCTGCCCCTCTATCCAGACAGCAGAAGGCAGGCTCCAAGGGGTGACAATAACACGGGGCCAGATCTAGGTTCATAGGAAGAGGGGGGTACATGAGGCTCAGTTCTGCTTCCCACTACAGCATGCTGGAGCCCCACCCTCGAGGTCACTGTCCCCTTAGGATTCCTCCACTGTGGCCCCTGTGTCAAACTCAATTCCAAGAGCAGGTCTTTACCCACAGGCTCCCTTCCCTCTCCAGGTCCTTGGTTGCTCCACAGAGAGTTGCCAGAGGCATTTGTCTACTGGTACCTACCAGGTGTCCTCTGGCCTGCAACTAGAATAGGCACACCCACCCACAGAGAAAGGCCTACCTTCCGGCGGGCTGCCCTGGGGCTGGCATCTGTAGATTAAGCGGTTTGCCTTAGTGGGCTGCAGAGATCATGGGTCAGAAGTTACTCACTTCTGGCTTGTTATTCCCAACGAGCCACAGGTGCTCCCCCTCAGCCATGCACGAGGTCTTCTTGTCTTTGGCTGGAAACACTCCTTCTCACCACTTTGTATGAGAGGGTACCACACTGAGCTGTCCTAGGCCCTCAGCCTCTCTGCTCAGTTTCTCCATCTGAAGGTAGGGCACAGACCCAAGGCTGGCTGGAACCGGGTAGGAAAGTAGTGCACCAGTGTCTGTGCCACAAACTCCCCAAGTTGCTGCTTTGGAAGGCCCCACTGTCCACCCTATAAAGGATGCCACCAGCCAGGCTCTATGTCATCTTCTCTGTCCCCAGAACATCCTGACTGCCATCTTGCTGCTGCTGCGGGAGCTGGACACAGAGGGGCTAGAGACTGTTCAGCAGACTGTGGGCAGCCAGCTACAGGCGCTGCACAGGCTGGAACCCCAGGAGGATATGGAGTGACTTATATGCCTAGTACCCTGTTATATCCTGTGGAAACAGCTCCACCTGGAAAGCCTCCCTCTGGGTTCCCAGCACCAGACCAGTGCAGGAGCAGTGGCTGACAGCTGACCAGACCCCTCTCTTGTGCCTAGGGCTGGCAGAGGCGCTGCCCACATGCATGGTCCCTGAGACTGACCAGCTGAGGCCTTGAGTATCTGGGCACTGCCTGACCCTTCTTCAAGGGAGGATTGTACAAGCCATACCCTCCAATAAAGCACTTTGTTTGGGCCAGAAGCCAGCATCTCAGTGACAGGCAGGGCCCTGACCTCAAGGTCCATGCTGCTTCTCAGCCGCTAGGGGGAGCCCTCGTGTCCCTGTATCAAGCTTATCCTCAGGGTGTGCCCGGAATGATATCTTACAAGGCACCATGTCCCAGGTGTCAAACACCGTAGCCTAGGAGAATGAATTCTTCTCAGGGCAAGGATGGACAGGACACTGTCCTTTTTATTTCTTCTCCAGGACAGGGATGTCACCCTAGGTAACTAGAGTTGTTCAGCATCCTGAGGTGTCAGATGCCATCAATAAAGCTATCTTTGTTAGAACAATTGGGGTAGGGCCTGCAACTTACCCACCAATCCAGGGGTGCCTTGGGGTGGGCTTACACCTGCCACAAGAGAATAGAGCTAAGAAAGGAATGGAGCGCCAGGCGTTGGTAACGCACACCTTTAATCCCAGCACTCGGGAGGCAGAGGCAGGTGGATCTCTGTGAGTTCGAGGCCAGTCTGGTCTCCAGAGCGAGTGCCAGGATAGGCTCCAAAGCTACACAGAGAAACCCTGTCTCAAAAAACCAAAAAAAAAAAAAAAAAAAAAAGAAAGGGGGTTTAAAATAAAAAAAAAAAAAAAAAAAAAAAGAAAGGGGGTTTAAAATAAAAAAAAAAAAAAAAAAAAAAAGAAAGGGGGTTTAAAATAAAAAAAAAAAAAAAAAAAAAAAAAAAAAAAAGGAATGGAGCTTAGCATATGTAAAACAATGAACAAAAAGCCTGGAGCCACCGCTGCCACCATGGTTGACATGGCCCAAGAAGCCTGCTGCATACAGTAGCTGGCTCTGTAGGTGACCTGTAAGGATCTTAATGCTGAAGGTTCAGGGGCCACTGGGCCCTTGGCCTTCTCCTCCTCTGATCCATTTCCAATCTTGGGAGGACTTTCTCTCTTAATAAACTGTCTCCATCATTACCCGTGTCCCTGGTCCAATTTCTTGTTCTGGGACATAAGAATCTGGAAATGTTAATAGGTGCCCTGTGGACCACACCACCTGCCTGTAACATCCTGGCTTTCATTCCTGTGGCACACTCATGCACATCTCAGGGATGGGCAAATTGTGCCAGTTGTGATAAGACCTCAATCCCTAATCCCCACCTCCAGCCTTCTCCGCCCAGACTGGGGACAAGCCACAGCACAGCCTGTAGCCTTACTTGGAGTTGAGCAAGATGACCTTCAGCCCCCTGCTCTGAATCTTCCAGGTGTAGCCCCTTGAGCAAAACAGCAATTGGCATCACAAGGTGGGGTACCCTCCCATCCAACTCACAGCAGGGAGAGCTGAGGCCGGAAGTGTCACCTCCTAGATAGGTGGAGCTCAGGAAAGAGGTGGCTGCTCTGTATCCTGAGTGTCACCTAAAGCCATTGCCGTCACCAGGACCCGAAGTGGCCATGCAGCTGAGCAGATAAACGTTGAATCTAGCAGTTCCAAACTGAGAGCTAAGTCCTATGCTAATAGAACCAGGGCATAGGACAATGACCTGACCCCACCTGGCAGTGACCGAAATGAGCCACTCGGGTCCTGTGTTTGGATCTCTTGTTGAGGCCTCTCCGTTGCAAAGACCCACCCCACCCCCCTGTTTGGCAGACACCCAGACTGAACAGGGGTCTGATGGGTGCTACTCTAATCTTCAGGTGTCCAACTACAGCCTGCTGTTGGTTGTCCCCAGACCTTGAGCTGCCATGAATGGAGGGAGAACACACTAAACAGTTGTGGGTATACATGGTGTCTCTGGAACAAGTGCATGCGTCCCCCATGTGTCAGCCAGCAGGGACTCCTCAACCTATAAGCTGGGGAGCCGGAGAAGTAGTGAGAGGCCTTATGATGGTCCAGAGGCCATTTCCAAGAAGGATTAGTGAGGGAAGGCTCTCCAGGGTGGCAGCCCAGATATAAAACATTCCAGTTAAAAAGGCAATGCTGCCTGCCAGCCCTTCTTGGTGTCACCATCCTCTACTGACATCAGAATCCAAAATCCAGACACTAAGCAGCAGATTGAGATTGCTGAGACACGCACACACAAATTTAGCAGCTACCAGGTTCCCAGCCTCTTCCGCATGCAATTGGCCATTATTGAGCTACCCAGTCCATTTGTGTAAACCAGCCTGGAGAATCCACTTCTACAGTATATATACATTCCATTGGTTCCGATCCTCTGGAGCCCGCTCAAGACACAAACCCTCCTGGGACCTGTAATGTGACACCTATCACTCCTGGATTCCTCTCCCAGCAGCCTTGAGGACACTGGCTTCTTGGGACTCCTGCCAGGTGGAAGCAGCTGGAATGTTGCCTGGGAGATGGAGGACACAGCAGCCTTGCAGTGACCCATGGGGCTGGCCTTTGGCATCTCAGCGCTTGCCCAGCAGCCCCTGTATTCATGCGGTACTCCTGAACAGAGCAACATGACATCACAGGCATACTATAGTTTTCCACAGTTGTTGAAGTCTGTGAAGAGCAACCGAGTTCTGTGGCCAGGCCTGGTCTCCCACTTATGCTCCTGAAGGTTCACTGTTACTCTGTACTTGAGCCTTCACTCAAATGCAAAATGAGAACACCCATTAGGGAGAAACGTCAATCCTCTGAAGTGCAAAGCTGCGCACAGCAGCCGCTATGGAGAGTAGACGGCCATTGCACCTAGCCTTGGGGAAGATGAAGCTTTTATAAATGCTGCCCCTTCCCGGGCTGGGCAAGCCAGCAGGGTTTGAAAGGGCCCACCTGTGTGACCCAAGCCATTGATGTAGCATGCTCCATTGACCCTGACCCCGGCTAGTCTTCACAGAGGTCAGGGATGGTCTGCTCTGCCCTGTCCCCAAGTGCCCCGATCAGACACCCCCATAGGTGGAAGCACCCAGTTCATGTCATCAGACTAGATGACATCACGATGTGAGGCCACAGGATGGTGGGGACTCTGATGGCTGCTGGGACAATGGCTTAGATGTTTCCGTGTCTCACACTTATGCTCCTGGGAGAAGAGTGACAAGTGTCGCTTTGCCATCCTTCCTCATGTGAGGTGGTGAGCCCCCCTACGTGGACCAGTGTGACACGATGGTGACTCAGGAACACTGTGTACCCTGCCACCAAGCACTGCTGCGGAGGGCTGGTGCAGTGGGTAACCCTGTCAGCAGTCATGCTTTGGGGTTCCCTGATCACCCTAAGACTTATTCAGGGGTCTCGAGATCCAGAAAGCCCTAAAACAGTTGACCCCCATGCTTAGAAACACCCTTTTTGTGACTGAGCAGAGCGCAGGGACAAGACAGGTCAGCTCTGGGTAATAAGCCACTGCTGCTGTCTGTCCCCAGTAACCTGGGCACCAAGAGTGAAGGTGGCCCTGCTGCATTGCCATCTGCCCTCTACAGGAGGATGGCTTCCCAGTTCTGTCTCTCAGGGCCCAAGATATGGGAAAGAGCAGCATGAGGACCAGCAGCCATTTGTATGTCAGTGCTTGTCCTTGTCTTGGCCTCATTAGTTCAGCCAGACCCACTGCCCTTTAAATTGGGACTAAGGCAGCCAAGGGGAAGCCCTGGCAATTTACCTAGTCCCTAATGCTGCCTGAAAAGTCCCAGGCCCATAGGGAGATCCTTACCCAAGGAAATCACCACCCCCATGTGGCCAACAGGCCCACAAAGCCAAAATACAACCCCTGACCTCCATACCCTCAGACAGGAAACTGCTTCCATCTATTGAGGGAATGGACCTAGACGTGGCTCACACAGAAAACCCTGATCAGTGGATTGGAGCAGGATCAAGGTGGGGGTAGACAGGGCTCTGACCTTCACGGGCTTCTCTGCTGTAGGCCTGGGGGGTCAGCAACCAGCCAGGACCCAGAGTCTACAGGTTGAGACCCCAGCCATTCAGGCTCAGTAGTGCCCCCCAGGCAGGTTCCCTACCATCTGATATTACAGAACGACTGTCTTGCACATGAGTCCTGCCAACCCTCTCCCAGGACTCCTCAGGTCATGATACCCAGGTAACCAGGCTCTAGTCAGGTGAATTTATTTCTAAAAAAAAAAAAAAAAAGGCTCTTTTTAGCCATGTGGTGAGGCAGCCAGCTGGCCAGTGAGGGAGAGGCAATGTGGGCCTGCCCAGCCAGGGCTGGAGGTGAGGGCTCCCCGGGTGCTCTATCCTAGAGGTGGCGAGGGGAGTGAAGCCCCAGAGCAGCACACTAGACCCCAGACCCCACCCTCCAGCCATGGGCTCCGAGTTCCTTGTGAGTTCCCCTCAGTGCTGGGATCCATGACTGGCACTGGAGGGGAGAGTCCGGGAAAGCAGGAAGACTGGTGATGGCGGCCTTAGAAACCTTTGTCTATGCTCAAGGTGCGTCGTGTGACGTGCTCCAGCTCCCCAGACACATAGTCTGCCATGCTGATTCGGTAGTGTGCCAGCATTTTCAGCATCAGCCGCAGGTTCAGCCACCACTGTTCCCGGGGCATGCGATGCCTGAGAAGACCAAGGGTGGGTAGTCACACAAGCAAAATCCCGCAGCCCTTTAAACCCCGAGGTGTCATTGTGAGCACATCTAGGTACCCCATTCCTCTGGCTGGGGGTGGGAGGAATGCTGCTGAGGTACAAGAGCCATGGGCTAACCAGCCTGTTCATCACAACCCCTCTCAGACTGCCCTGTGTTGTCCTTAAGACACCCACACAAGACTCCTGTTCTTTAAAGTCAGACAAGGACCCTGTCCAGGGACGTTCTGGGCCTCCCAGCGCCCTCCCTTCTCCATGCAGTCCCAAAAGGGCTTACTCAAAATCAGTATCTTTCTTGAGTTCTGTGACGGGACTGAAGGCCACCACCTTCTTCCGCAGGCCAATCACACAGGCTGAGTCGGGAGCATTGGCGAACACCCGCCCTATGGAGACGGACATGTGGTGAGCAAGACCAGGCCCCCAGAGACCCTCAGAGGGCAGGCCGGGCCAGTTCACCCCACCTACCTTTGCGATAGACATCGCGAAGCTTCTCTGACATCCACAGCATGGCCTTCAC